CTATTAGCAGTGTGTGTTTTGCCTTAAGTAAACGTACAGTTCACCTCAGCTGGGGCTGCCATCTAGACGAATGAAGGTGTTTATCCACAATGTGTTTCCAGCGTAGCTGAGGACTGTTTGCTGACTACTGATGAAGACTGCTCAGAGTGGGAATTCTTCATGATCTTCACCACAAAAGTTGTAAGTTAGAAAAGATATTGCCTCCTATTGAATGCTGCGGAGGGATTCCTTCAGTTTATCAGACGTTTCATCTATGACTACATTTCACCCACAGCATCTAATCCTGCTGGCATCAAACCCAGCATTTTCATGATGGTTCTGCCTTTCTCTCTTATTCCACCTATCAGAGAGCTTTGCTCTGTCTTGTTCTCTCTGAGTAACTTTTTTTCCCTCTCAAGAAGGGACATACCCCACAGCCTGGAGAACATTAGTTTATGTTATATTCTCCTAATATCAAGTTGCCTCGCAGCAACATTAGTTTCTCTGGCAGAAAACAGAAAGGGCGTGTAACATGTTTAATCTTCCACAAGAAAACTGATATCGCAGGGAGGAACTGAAGCCAGGACTCCTGGGTGCTACGTACTTTTGTACTTGTGAAGAGTGGCTCGGTCTTCATCCTTAAATATCGTCTTGCTGGAGAGTGCTAAAACAACCATGGGAGTAACCAGCTGCAGCCAGAAAGAAAGCTAAGCAGTGCCAAGCTAAATGCCAAGATACCATTATGGTGATAGGAGAACCTGAAAGCTCAAAATCAAAATGCTTCCCTTTTGTAAGATTTAGGATTTCAAAGTCAAGAAGCATTGTATTGCCTGTGGAGTGTATTTTCACTTGTATTTACTGTATAGTACTCAGTAGGGATGGTGCTTTCCTTACAGATAGTACAAGAATTAACCATATTCTTCTAAATAAACCTAAAATTGCCTTTTATCTTCATAGTTGTCCTGAATGTGACCAAAATAGACTTTTAGGAGATGTAAACTCTTCTGAGGTCTGAGAGGTGAGGTACAAACAGAAGAAAAAACTGCTCCTAATGTAAGGAATAAGTAAGAAATATGCATAGAAAATGCAAATGCTGTATAAGTTAAGGTCTTCAGTCCAAGTTAAGGCCATAGGAATCAAAGAAAATGGCCATTGCCAAGAAGTGGTGGCAAGACTGAATTTTTCACCTGTCTGGCTAGAACAAGACACAAAGCAAGACCAGGCTGGCTTAGCTGACAAAAAAAAAATATCAGAAATTAATGTTAAGATTTAGATCAAGCCTGCCTAGAAATGATCATAAACAAACCCCATCTATTTACCATGTTTATGATAACTTAGCTTCATACTAGTAATTAAACATTATAAGATGGGCCCTGTCCTACAACAGGGCTCACCTGGAATGGAGCTTTCATCCTACTTTGCAGCTCCTTCTCGGTTAAGAATTTCTTGATAAGAGTGGTGATGAAGCATTTGTTTCCTTACACTTTAAAAGCCTGAGTAAGGCTTACTCCTAAAGAGCTGCAATCTATTAGAATTTCTAAGTATCTTAAAAATTATAAAGCTATTTCCAGGACTCACGCTTTTTCTCATCAAATATTTATATGACATTATTTTGAATGACTTATTTTATGCCATATTCAAATTTTCAGTAAAGATATTTTAAAACTTTTGGACATTTTCTTTTCTGAAACTGATTTCTTGATACCTTTTTGCTCCAACTTCATGTCTGGGTTCAACACTGATCTCAATTCCCAGATTTGCAAAGGGCTTTCCTTAAAGTGCATTGGGTGGGGTGGAGTGGTATGGAGAAAGGGTTTATGGAAATAGCTGCCTTTCCTAAGCATGAAAGGGAAGAGTTGGTCTGGAAACCACCTCCACCCCCCATATGTGTTGGTATTATCATCGGTGTTTTCTCCATATTAGTATCATTAAACTGCTTTGAAAATACAAGAAGAGATTTGCACTGCATTGTATTTCTTCTGTGGGCATTTCCTGGAAGGACTTTCTTCATTGGTGTCTTCCACTTCTTTACAGTCTCCATATGTGCCCAATTTGGAAGTTCACATCTGGCTTTCCCTAGACCTATCCTATTCCCCAAAATGTCATCCGAAATTTAGTGATAAGTAGCTTACAGAACTGACATTCTCTTCTTTAGTTCAATAGGATTTCACTATTAGCAATCCTGTAAGCCAAAAGCTGGTTAATAATTTGGAGCCAGTTCAGTAAAAAACTGCTAGCTTTGCCTCAGAGTGATTTGGAGTGATAAATTCCAACAGTGGTCACAGTAACAGTATTTCAGTACTGAAAGGTTGTTACAGAGGAAGGCAATCAATGATTATCCATACCCACTTTGAAAGGATAAAAAGAAAGCTTAATTTGCAGAGAAACAGATTTGGGTGGGATACTTGCAAAATCTGCCAAAGCTGTCAAACTGATGAGCCACTGAAACAGGGACATTGTAAAATCTCTCAGGGGATGATCTAGGGCTTTCATGAAAAAATTCAATAAACTTTAGAGGGCTTGCCTGGCCCTACTTAAATGTGGTTAGTCATTATATTGTGACAGGGGCTGGAAAACAGCACTTTTGTCTATATGTATACATATACGCTAATACAATACATATGTGTACACTAATATTCACTGATGTACTGTATGCACGCACTAATATTAAACTAATATACACTGATACTCTACTAACATACATTAATAATACACATTATTAATAATCATGTACATGTATATAATCATATGTCTCTTCAACTTGTCTCAAAGGTTTACTCTTCCTGAGTGTTCCTAAGACACAGGCAAAGCTCACTGGAAATGCTGAATACGTTCTCTTGTCCTAGTAGAAAGGGCCAGTTTGAATGGATTTATATAAATTAATTTGCACTCTTCCTTATCTAAATAAGTCAATCAAGAGACATGCTAGCCCTGAATCCTGGATGCACAAACTGCAAATGCCAGCTCAGGGAGCTCATGCACCTTCCTCCAGCAGCAGAGCAAATGACTGGAGCTATTGCACATGAGCAGAAGCATCAGCCCTTCTCAGAAGAACCGTACAACACATCTACCTGTGTGGAAAGAGCTAAGAGACTTGAATTACAAGCATAACTGAAGAATGATTTTTATAATTGTGGTCTAGCACGAAAGATGTGTGCGCACTCACAAATTAGACTTATATCACCAATTCTCTGTGTGATCCAGCAGCTTCCTGGCCGTTCATCTATATAGACTGGCTGGACACAATGGACTAACTTGAGATCAGCCTGAATGCATGAGATTGATTGAACCTTCACAATTAAACATTAACAGACTCGTACAGGAGCTGGGAATTTTGGGCAGTTCTAGAAATGCCCAGATGCAGCTCCTGCTTTGTCTAGATCCATTTATATGCTTTAAGTGTGTTAATTAATATTTTGGGTGGAGTGTCAGATTAAATGATGCATAGATAAGACATTTGTAAATATCAATAGAAGCTGTCCTTGCAGAAATGGTCTATGGAATTAGTCTTTTGTAAGTAGTTTAGATATTTAAGAACTGTTTAGTATGTGGTTAAAATATACCAATAGTGATGAATTATGTAGGACTGGGGTTGTCACATGGTATCATGGGCCAGCCAGGTTATAAGAACTGAGCAGAACAGTCATGTGAGGAGTCTCTGCTGATCTAGCTGTAGACACTGCCATAAGGACCCTTGCAATGGAGGCTCCCACCACCACCAGCAACCAACTGTTCATTTTGGGAGATTTGAGAATGTATGCGAGCAACGCCTTATGCAAACATCCCAATAAACTAGTCTCTTCTTTCTCAACAGGTGCTCTGTCCATACAATGAATTAGTGAAAGACTACCTATCTGCTGCCTTAGGGCCTAAAAGATGGCCAGCAGCACACTGTCATCTGCAGAACAACCCATTCTCCCCACACCAACATAACTTTGGGTGTGGAAGAAGTCTATATATTCCATGAATTGATTTGGTGGCTGCTGTTGTACAGCCCTTACTGTATGATGTGAACAGATGTGAATGCCTTATGGGACAGGGAGGTCGTACGAGGACTTTGGGAAAAGAGCCGTCAGCTCTGGGTCAGCAGAACAGCTCAGCCCACAAATGGTCCTGGGGGTGATCTTCAAAAAAGAGGTGAAGTGGGCTACAAGCCAAGTGAGTCATCCTGGAAACCTGTTTCACTGACACATAAAAATGCTTATTTCTAAGATTACATATAGAGTTCTCAAGGAACTTTGAAAACCAGTCCCATTTGTCAAAATGGTGTAAGCACTTCAAAGCTGCAGATTGTTGAGAAGACTCTGAGATTCCTGAGTCAATTTAAAACTTAGTTCCTGTTAACTATTGTAACTCTATTAACATACAAACTAGTCTATGGCTAAATCTTTCTCATAAAACATTTCTTAGGTGTGCATGAGTTTATATTATCCCTGTCTTTAACCTCTGACAATACAACTAAGCTTTGTCTAAATGCTGTCCATCTCATTAGGTGTAGGCAGGTTCCTCTGCACATTTTTTGCTTTATTTATTCTCCAGTTTTATTATTAATTGTACAGCTGATGGATGCTAAACATACAGTCTGTAAATTCTGATAAATAAGCAACAATAAAAATCTGAACCTACTTGCTGCTGAGGACTTTCAACTTCCTCTGGCCTATCTGTTAATCAAGCTATGACTGCCTGAAATGCAGTGCTTGACATGTTCGTAAGTGCTGTTTAGTGAGAAGCTTGTAATGGAGGTAATAAGTAGGATGGATCTTTAAATAATCAACAAGTAAGCTTAAAACATTAAAGGGAAGAACATCTAGGAAGGGAAGCAGAGAGAGAAGGGTCCATATTCTGGACTCAGGTTGATAATGTGAATTATCACAAGTGGTCTGAGCTAGAATTTTTAGAGGGGATGGTCACATCTTAAATTGCCAGTTACCCAGATCTTTAAATAGGACAGAGCTAAATCAGTTTCCTGTGAAGCACTAATTCAGACTGATACTGACACTTAGGTTTCCTTTTTGTTTTAGGAACGGCTGGTGCTCTCTGTCTTACCACGGTTTGTAGTCCTGGAAATGATAAATGATATGACCAATGTAGAAGATGAACATTTGCAACACCAGTTTCATAAGATCTACATTCATCGTTATGAGAATGTCAGGTGGGTGGAGGAGCCTCTCTCTGCTAAGTGCCTCTTGCTTGAGAGTTTGCCTTCCGTTGTTTTATTCATTCAAAAATTAGAAATTGAGTGTGCCCTTGTTTAATCCCTAAGCAGATAAGCATTTTGGTGCCTTCTTTTACTCATCAGGATGGCTGGATGCCTTTGCCGTGGCAAGACCCATTTGAACTGAACACTGGGCCTGGACCATTTGTGTATTTTTTTACTTTAAATAAGTGGCCAGGGTCACACAGAAAGGGGAGCCTTGCCTGCACATGGACACATATTCTGCTACAATCTTTTGGTTGGCGCCACACACTGAGAAATGAGATGGAGAACTGTAAGATGCTCTCAAAGATGCAAACAAGTCATGTGGCTCCTCTGTTTAGTAGCCATTTTCATTCAATCATTCTTATTGTAATTTTCCTTATTGCATTTCCCTTTTTTATTCCCCTCTCTAAATCTTGTCTCTCCTGAAATTAGTTAGTGGGAAGGTGATAGTTACCCTATGAGCTGCTACTCAAGGTAGTAAGTCCTAATTCTATATTTACACCAGAATGATCAGCTTCCATTCCATGATGTCACAGGCTCTGATTTTATTGTGGTTCCCGGCCATCAGAAATTTTAGCTAAGCCAATAACATTTTCCATAAGTTTGTCCCAAACCGCAAGGGCAAATGATTGAGTGTCCATCACTAAAGGAAGTGAAAAATAAGTGTCCTTGGATATGATGGGAGACAGATTGCTAAGAAAGCGTGTACTTTGCCTTTTGATGAAACCCAAATATAACTTTGTCTGGACAAGTTCAATAAACACAATCTGAACTTCTGCAAAACAGTAAATTGATTATCTGCTGCTTCTGTGCCCTTGCAGTAGCTCAGAGATATTATTTTATTATATCTAGTGGAAAGTATCAAGGACCCTTACAAAATGTTTGAATTGCACTAAATTAAAATGTCTTCCATTACACTTTTTCATTCTCAGAGTAAGTGTTGCTGTAGAGGAATCAAAATAGGGAGAAGATGGCCATTCCTCTTGAATGGAAAAGAGTTGTAGTGAGGGGTGAAAAATTGAAACATAAATTATGCTTGGAAGAGATTTAAAATTAAGATTCTCTGTTAGAGTACAGATACTGGTTGGTACTTATGCATGCTGCCACAAGCTAGATCTTTTCAAAACTGGTTTTCACCTTATTTTTTTCCTAAATGTTGAGCACTGAACACTACCTAAACCAATGCTATATGAATCCCTAAAATTAGTTTCCAGTTAGAGAATTTTGTCATTGTGATAATTAAAACTGTAGAAATTAGTTGTTTGAAAATCTTATTTTTATCAGTTTAGGCTATTATTATAGCTTTGGGTATTTCAGTATTATCTTTGGGTAGTTCGGTACTTTACCTTTTAATTTTTCTCACTGGTAAAAATCTTACCCAGTTTGTGAGCCTCCTACTTAATCCTCACCCAAACCCTTACAAGCCCCTGCATTTGAAGATGAATTGAATTATCATTAGTCATATTTTATTGCCCACCTGATCATTACTGTAGTTATTATTGGTTACATTAGTGATTCTCAGACAGTGTCAGATTGTGATCTTGTTCAACGCAAATGAAAGGTCTTCAGCTGCTCAGATTGTAACACCAGTTATTAGTTGACTTTGAAGTGCTAAGGAGATTACTTTGGGTTATTTCCAGTCTGTGCCAGCATGATACATGTCTTTTTGAACATTACAACTTTTTAAAGTAGACAATACTTCCCTTTCTTCAGCAGCTAAGTACTGAGCTATTACATTCTTTGGTTTGGGTGATAGCCTGCACACCACAGACTTTGTGTGTGTGTGTGTGTGTGTGTGTGTGTGTGTGTGTTTCTCTATATTCACATGTGCTCAATGTAGGTATACTGAACAGCCAATGTTCCATGGCTAGAAAATTCACTGGCTGCTGAAATATAGATTAGAGCTCTCTTTGCAACTATTTTGTTGACTAAGATTCTACCATAACTTCAGGCACCCAATCTGATGCACCTAAATTCAAAGTATTATCACACCAGGCTCCCTGTGAAGTCAATGGAAAGAACAAGGAATCATCCAAATAAAGATTCATACCTTACATAGAGGGTACTATACTTCTAACTCAGGTCCCTAAAATTAGATCCAATAAATCTGGCCTGAGCCTGGTATATATCAAGACTGACATGAATCTCTCTGTTGTCTTAGGATTTGAGTCTTGTATGGCACATATATCAATAAGTAAAGCTTGAAAATCACACTAAAAATTAAAATCACTGAAGTCAAACCCACTGTAAAAAACAGCTATATATAAACCCACCCTCAAAAACCAGTCAGATATTAACAGAAAGCTGGGTGCCAAGTGTATCTGTTCATACAGCCCTCTGTATTATGGGTGCACTCTGCCTCAGTCCTCTCACAGATAAACAGGGACAACAGTGTTTATTAAGGCTTAACTATATCTTACTGAATGATTTGAGAATCCAAAATTGCATAACACACATTTTTGGCAAAACTCTTTCTCATGCTGGGTAAATTATTTCTTTAGTCCCTTCAATGTTTACATTCAGTACTCCAGAAATTCCAAAAGTCTAGAGCAAAGGTATCATGATTTTAAAATGATCGTTCACTAGCAAATGTCTAGAAGGTAAAAGGACATTCAGTTATCAAAGAAAATAGACTGCAATATTAATCTCTTTTCTCTTTTTAGCATTCTTTTTGCAGATGTTAAAGGATTCACCAACCTCTCCACAACTCTGTCAGCCCAGGAGTTGGTCCGTATGCTGAATGAACTGTTTGCCAGATTTGATCGACTAGCACATGTGAGTTAATTACAGTTTATTTTTAAAAGGATATGAAGTCGGCTCTGTATTTGGGAACTTTGGGGAAAACCCACTGATCACTCTGAACCATATTTATCCAGATTTTCCCCACTAGGATTTTATACAGCCGTTGAGGTTGGAAGACAGTGACAAGTTTTATAAAAAGCGATGAGTGAAAGCAAGTGAAAGCTCAGATAGCCAACAGAACTTTGTGCTTCTGTAGTGCTAGACCAAGAATGGTACGAAAGCAGATTACCTACTACAGTTTCTAAGGAAGTTTTATAGTTCTGGTCCTTGCTGGAAAATATTTTTTTTTTTAAGACCATAACTTTACTTTGACTTTTCTTCTAAGAACTGAGGAAGGTTAAAAGACCTAGTCATGTAAAGGTCATATAATCAGCCACCACAGTCATTGCAATGGTTACTTACCAGCAGGTTTTACAATCTTTAGGTTGCATTCTGTCTAACTGAGCAATGAAATTAATTAAACACAGTAGAGGAATTTATTACACTAGGCAAAGTAGTTGCTAGTTAATTAGTACTGTTTAGGAAAAAAACAAAGCACAGAAAACCAAGCAGAACACATGTTCAATTTTCCTAGGCTTGCGTTTTCTTTTCTTTTTTATGTTCCTTTGGTTAAAGTTTAATTTCATGTGACTATCTTTAGGTGTCAACATCTGAGCTGGCTAATAAGGCTGCTAGGCTAAGCAATATAGTACATTTAAAGGATTCTAGATTAAAATTCATCCAACCAAATGTAAGCACCTACTATGGGAAAACAGGAATTACATTCTGAATATCATTGACCATTCTCTCTATTTACTATAAAGGGAGCCTACAGTGACTTGCTCAGTTGTACACATCTAGATCCCTCACTGATTTTTATACATTTCTGGTTTAGGGGTTTGGAGTGTTTGTGCACGTATTGCACAGGCATCAGTAAGACCCTTGGTGTTGTCTCAGCTTGCAAATTGAAGTCAAGAAAGGCAAGACTTCCATAATTATTCAAAGCTCTTTTGAGTCAGCTATTTTTATCTCAAATAGCAATGTGTTTTCTCATGTACAGCGTGGTGCCATAACCCATTGCCTGGACAGTGGCAAACTGGTAAATGCAATCTACAATATTTGTTTTGCAAATAAAAAAAACCTCATCAGCTCTGATCTACATTAAAAACAGAGCAGGGTGAAAGAAGTTACCTCAGTCCTGTCTTTTAGAAAGCTTGTAAGAGTAATGTCTGCTTCTGTACAGCCTGACAAAAATAGCTACCCTAACTGAAGAAACATATTTTAAACCAAATTAAATGTATGTCACAGAAATATTTTAGGAAGAATATGTACACAAGATGATTTATTGCCTTGCTTTACATTTCAATTTTGCCTAGCAGAGATAGTAGAACAGATTCCTCTTTCATGATCATTAACCATATTTTCTAATCATTCCATAAACTATATTTAACCAATAGGGATTTTGTATAGAAGGACTAGATCGAATAAAGGAGTTCAGAACAAGGAAGGCATTTACATCTAAAAGTGTAATGCAGAGAATCCTCCCTCCTTGGTTTTAATATTTCATAGGAACTGAAAATTTTCCTTCTTTAAATGCCCAGAGGTTTCCCCCTTCTCTGTGATTTGTCATACATCTCCTAATTAAACCTTCTAGAAATCCTTCTGTCCCAGTCCTAAACTCATAAGTCTTCATGGACAACACTGAATGTGCCCACATAGGAATGCGTGTCCCAAAAATGTAGGTGAGTTTATTTTAAAGAAACAGTAATAAATATACCAGTTTGTCTAACATAACCAAGAATTTATTACCCAGAAATTTGCAGAGTTTAGTATGAAAGAACTTCTCTGCGAAACTTCATCATCAGGTCAGTCACCTCTCAAGTGAATGTCCTAGTCACTAAATTCAAAACTTTTGGCTCCTTCATGACTTTTCTTTCCTAGTCTGTGAATTTGCTTTTACCTTCTACACATCATTGACTTGACAAATCCAGTTGTCTAGATCAAACCTCTGAAAGGCAGAAGACAGAGGGAAGAATCACTGCAGAAATTGAACAGATTTGATGACAAAGAGTGATCTAACTATGACTAATTAAAATTTATTAAAAAAAAAAAAAGGCATTTTAATTGTGTTCCTTGATTGTGGCTTCTGAGACCCTGGATGTCATGATTCCTGCCTGATGTCCTGACAACAGAGATGCCCAACAGCCCTAGAGAAGAACAGAAACTCTACATAGCTTTTGGTGTTTCTGTACAACCCAAGGAGATGAACTCCCTCTGCACTTTATAGGAAACTGAAGCTCCTCCCTCTGGGTTGTGAACTCTTATAGAAGTGACAGCTGCCTAAAATATAAGGGCATAAATCCTTTAGTGAATGTAATCTTTGCCTTTGGAAAATTTTGGAAGTGGACACTGACTGGTTCATGACCCGAATTTTGAGGACTTGTGATTTAAATGAACTATCAACCTACCCAGCTGGTACTGTATGAAGCTTTCACACCTGGGTAAAGCGTATCTTTTTGAAAAATGACAGGTCTTCAGCTGAAGGTCCCAGGAGATGGAGAAATACTTGTGTATCTTGGGAGTCTATTCTAGTGCATTAACACTCTCACTGTTAATTCAGTACGGCTGGTTTCTCATTTGATTTTGTCTGACTTTGAATTACATCCACTGATTCTTGCTATGACCTGTTTTTCCTAAACAAAAAACCATCTTGTAACTACTGATTTTCTCTGGTAACACAGTTATGAGCTTTGATCAAGCCACTTTTCAGGTTTCCTTTTGATAAAAGAAACAGACCAAGCTCATTGTGAGGCTTTTTCTCTGTAAGATTTATTCCTTCAAAATTTTTTGGGACTAGTTTTCTGGACCGCCTCCAATATTTCAGAATTTCTGTTAAGGCATAGGTACTAGCACTGAAAATAGTGTTCCTGGGCCAACCTCCTCTACTGCGGTGGAGGCAGACAGTCACCATTCCTTCTATTCTCTCTTTCCTTCATCACTGCCCAAAGATCACGTTTCTGAACATGCAGTGATGACACTATTGCACTGAAACATATTATTTTGGGGTTTTATGCTCTTTCTGTCTTGTTATGACCACCATACCTGCATGGTAATTGATCATTTTGCCAGTCATATTCCTTCCACCAATATTATAAGCAATGGTCTCATACTTGCCTGTAAATCCTTTCAAGACCTCCCTAAGAAGGATCTTCCACTAACAAGCATTACACATTCACATCTAGATTTCAGATCTATTACTTAACTGGTTCTTAATCAGCTTAACTAGAGTTATCATAACTCTTTAAAATAGATACTGCTACTCAAACTCTTGGGTTTTACTAAGAATTATAATCAAAGCAAAGAGATTGATTGCAGAAAGCCTGAGGCAGTTTCTGTAGATTTTAAGGAAAATCCTTATAAATCCTTATTTACTTCTAAATAAAAATAGTATTTTATAATCCCATATAAAGGATTGTTTGATCTGCTCTATCATCTTATATAAACCATATAATATTAAAGAAGACACTATTTCACAGCTTACTGAAGAATGTAATTTAGCTTAGTTTCTTGTTTCTCTTTTTCAGTCTTCCTTTTTCTTGTGCAATGCAGAAACAATGAGAGCTCTGAGATTTTTTTTTAATCTTCAGTTGGTTGCATCACGTATTATGGCATATGTTGATGCATGTAATTAATAACCACAAATTCCATAATATCTGTATCATTACCACAGAACACTTTGAATAAAAATTAGAACTCAGTTCCATATTTCTTATACGAAAGAAATGTCATATTATGTTATGTACAGCTACATCCCCTTTCTAATCACTCTGTGTTTGTAAAAGATTTATAGCTATTAAAGAGAAAAGTGACAGTTAGAAAGGAAGAAAAATAAGTTAGCATAAAACAGAACTGAAGAAAAGATTTCCCTCTATATCCATCCACTGAAAGGCCTAAACATAAACTTAATTAATGTTAGTATTTTCCTTAGGCAGAAATTTTGAGGAGAGAAAGGAAATAAGATGACATTCAATAAGACACTTAAGCCTAAAAAAGGTCCTGCTTTGATTAAATAATAGTACTTTTTGACATTAGTTTTTCCTCTGCCTTCTCTGCGGTGCTAGATGTCAGCCAATACTATGATTTAAATTCTTGATCATATTTCTAAATGTGTCTACACTGTGTGTAGATTCCATTTCAGATGTGACAAAGAGTAAAACTCCAGAGGAGCACACATCTGTAAGTTTTGTCACAACAACAGCTGAGATCTAGTCCAACATTACTGAGACCTAAAGATAAAATCAAGCTGCAGCATTTCAGTTTAGACACATACACAAAAACGAACACACAGTCTTAGACTTGAGTTTGGACCCATCTTTAATATCAAGCATTGATGCTGAAACAGAAATCTTCCTCTGAAAGATTAAAATCCATGGGTTTCATATAAGAATAAATGACTGGCCTGTAAAACATTTCATCTCTTTACAGGCTCATCAGCTCTCATACAATAAACCAGAATAACTACTTCTTACTCAGAGGAACTGTAGATTTTGAATGGAAAATTGACACTTTTCTGTCAGCTTGGAGAAATCCTAACCACCCCCCTATAGGCTATTTAAAAAAAAAAAAAAGAAAACATTCCTTACATGATCTGTTAAACTATGTAAAAAAAAAAATTAATATAGGGCTATATTTAAGTACTCTCTGGTCCAGGAAGAGGATGCCACATTTTTCCCTTTATGTGTATGAAAAATAGAAACAGTCCTTGCAACCATGACCCAGACCTGATCCTCCTTTCTCACTGCATCACCGGACTCAAGAAATTCCCTCCATCTAGCTTTGTCAAGGTCCCAGCTCTGTTTTTCAGTGACAGAGCTGCAATAGGAGGAATTTCATGGACCTCTCCCTTCAGCCCACCCCAAACCAGCCTGCTGATTAAGAACTTTGGCCTACACCCCATTCATGCTGAGAAAGGCCTTTTATCTAGATTTCCTATACCTTTGGCAAATGTTTCAGGAACTGAGCTATTGTACACAAAGGCCGAGTCCCTGCCTCCTCCCACTCTGGCCACCTTTTAAAAGGAGGTTTATGTCTATGATCTCTTTGTTCTGCAGTTCAGCCTCCATAATTTCTCATCCACAATGTTCTACATTTTTAGCTTGAAATTATAAAAATTGTGAGTGTGGACTCTTCTGTGGGCTGTACGTCAGCCTACAGGACCCCCTTCAAAAGTAGGGGAAGTGATTAATTCACCACAGGCAGAATTGAAAAAGTGGTGTAACTTATGAAACACAATCACTTTTTTCCTCTCATCAGAAATTTAGCCCAAGGAAACAAGAAATACTAATGAAGTTTCTGACTGAGTCTTTCAGTTACTTAATATTTGAGCAACTCATTTCTTCAGTTCTCCTTTATGCCAATTTGCTTTGCTTCCTTTCCAGTCACTAAGGGTATTTTTAATAAGCTTAAACATAAATCATTCACGTGTATGAGGTAATAATTTATGAAAAATCTGCATTTTTTCTTTTGCTCTGGATTAAGGTGATATGGAAAAAGATTTCTTATCAACTGCCACTGAATTCATCTAGAATTGTTATTATTAATAGTTGAGTGTTTGAGTCTGTTCAGTATCCCCAGGCAAAATTGCTACTGATTTCAGTTGATCTTAGCAGAATCAGGCCCCTTAATCTTCCACTTGTAGCAAATGAGAAGCTGCAAATAAAAGGAAAAAACCCACATATTTGTCACATTTTGAGAATTTATGAGATTTTTTTTAATCTTTAGTTGGTTGCAGAATCTCACACAATGAGAAATTAATTGATACCTTCAGAAAATAACATTAATGAGTGAGTATGGGGAGGGGTGTGGGGCTGATGGATGCTAGTATGAATGTCTGTATAATATCGCCTGTCCTTTACATGACCAAGGACAAATTCTGGAATTGCTTAGGGGAAGGGGAAGAGGAATAGAATAAAATAAATAGAAGAATATTACGGCCTCACAACAGTGTAAGGATTTAACACTGTAGTGTAATATCTGCTGCATCAAAGTTCCTGTATGGCCATTTTCTCTTATTTAAATAATTTACTCATTTTACAATTTCTGCATACATGCTTATAGTTTTCATTCCTTTTCATTTAATATTAACTTGGAACTCCTAGATACTATTGTGGTGAGATGGTTTTAGGAAGTGGGCTTGAGATCCAGAGTGTGAGGAAAACCTTGAATGCTATTATTATCGTTTTATACCACTGAAATGTAAGTAGGCTCTCACAAAGCTCAGTCTCCTATTTACAGCTACAGCATGGCTACCCAAATTAGCCATGTATCTAACCTTAACGTACTGATACAGCCAACCTGAAAAAGCTTCAGTCTAAACTGTAAATGTGATGAAACTACAGAGTTATCAGAGGGAATCTCAGGAGACCATGCAGTCCTCCTCTGCAAAGGCTGATACCATTAGCCCTCTGTCCTTCCTGGCAGTTGTTGATTTACCTTCTTCTATTGGGAACATTTCCACTGATAAAAAATCCACAGTTTACTTTTGAAATAGGTATGATGGGAATAATAGGGGAAGACTAGAAAGGGTAAGGAAAACACTCAGACTGTAACATGGTTCATGTTTAACAGTCATTGATAATCTATGATAAGTCTACAATAATGCTCTAACAGGAAAAATAAGGAAGACAAGGAGTCATTTAAGTGTTCCTGGTGGCTTCTTGTCCAATAGTGCCTGTCTCTTGCACTGCTCCAGAGGGACATATGTCTTATATCATGCCTGTTGGCTTGTGTGGGTGCTTCACATACCTAGGGGTCTTACTGATGCACCATAAGCTCATGTGTAGACAACTGAACTGAGGCCCAGCCGACTGCTTTATCTGTGAGCTGAATCAGTACCTAGGCTTCACTGACTTCATAGCCTGGCTCTCCTTTGACTGTAATGACAGCCTTGACTGCTGGCTGACATATGGACACCTATATATAGTCATCTCTGTTTGGATATCTCACTCTGTAGATTACTTCCTGAGCTTTGGCAAATGAGTGTAGAGATGATGTATCATGACAAGAAAAAGCATACATTCATGTGCAGCTGAGCGGATTTCCTGTGTCGCACATATGCACTCACATTTGCATACATCAAACCCTCATTAACAGGTCTTGTTAAGCATTAAGATTACTCTTATTCTTATAAAAATCACATATTTTTGAGCTGGTCTTCCTTCTTCTGATTTTCAGCAAATGAGGCGATATGCAGGCAGGTGACAGAGATCTCACCTGTCTTTAATGGAATCAGCACTTCAGCTAGTTTAAATGAGTCATTAAGAACCAAACAGCTGAGGTTTTCTTCTGTTGCAGACTATGTTCTTTAGTTGTGCTGAATTAGATGCTCACTTAATAGGGGATTCCCACATCATCAGATAGGCAGTTACTACATGTGCAAGACTGCATGATAAATGTTTCATGTAAAAATGTAAATACTAAAATATGATACTACTTGAGACTTGTCTTTCTTTCTTTCTTTCTTTCTTTCCTGGAAACTGACTGTTTCCCCTTTTTTTTCTATATTTTACTACAAGATTACCAATTCTAATATGTTTGTAGCTGGTCTGAATGAACTTAAAGTGCTGCCTTTTGCTTTACTCCACCTCAGTCAAACTGATATGACATTATAAATGCTCCTTTGACTTTGTAGATGTAAAAGCAAATGGCAATTAGAATATGAATTAATTGAATGGCATTATTAGAGAAGCCAAAGAACTTTAGAATCTGTGTTCTATAATATCTTCATCTCTTTGCATTTTGTTTAACCATGGAACACAGAGAGAAACTTAAGGAAGCCCACTAACGGCTTAACATGCCCTGATTTATGCCATTGAGTCCTTGCCACTTGTTGATTAGCTTTAATGTTTCCTAGTTTCACTCTATAGAAAAAAAAAAAATAGGTGGAAAGCATGGTAAAATCGAATCTCTCATTCTTTCCTTTGAGGAGGGAACACGTAAAAAAATAGTATTTTGGTGGATTGTAGGATGTATGATTTCAGTTGGAACCATATGAAAAATATCCAATGTTCACTTGTATGGGTCTGCAGAGGGGTTGAAGAGAAGGGGATGAGGGAAGAGGAGAATTACATATGAATGTTGACATTTTAGAAGCCTGACTTTAGTCTTGAATCTCCTTGTGAAACTTGGGAAAGCTTCAAACACAGTCAGCTCCTACTGATGGTTTAAGGAGATTTCAGGGTGAATCAGCTTACTTTGGCCCTGTGCCCAGAGCAGATTTTACCCTCACTGGCATGCTTAAAGCTTCAGCTGACTTCTGCAAAAGCTTTGGGTACAAGTGTGTATGTACCCTTTGCCACCCTAGGATTTGTAAAGACTTGTCTGACGTTGACTACAAAGCTTCATTCTTCCTAGGCAAAATCTTGAATAATAACACGGAGTCCCATTCATTTGGCCAATACTTGATTCCTGAGGCACAGCCAGAATTCACATTTGCTTCTGCATCCTACTTAAAGTTCTCTCTTCCCCCATAGGTTTAGTGTATCCCCAGTCCTTTGATTAGTGCAGCCTCCACTACAGGTTGCCAGAGAGAAAAACAGAAATAAAAGTGACAGGCCAATGTTGCTATCATCTAATGAACCAGTTTAACAAATCATTATCCTACTCCCCAGTAATGACCGGTCTCCATTTTAATGTTCTGTCATCACAGCCTTTACTATCTGAGTCCTACTACTGCCCTTACTATTTTAATGATTGTCCATCATAAAAACACTTCTCCAACACAACTTGTAATACTGTCTACCCCTAGACACTTGCAGCTCAGTCCTCAAATTATTGCGGTCTCTGTTCCTGTGCATTGATTGTATCTCTCCTGTGAGTGCTGAGCCAGCAGAACACATTGGGCAAGTTTACAGCTAATATTGGCGTCACCTGTTTTGCTTGCCTAGGAACTGGAAAAGTTTCGGCAATTCAGTCATTTCTTCTCACTAGAAAAGGATCTTCTAAAATAATAATCCAACCGTTCAGTAATATGTTGTTTCAGTCTATAAAGATACTGCTAAGATGTATTTAAGTGATGAAATTCAGTATTCGCTTCTAGGGTAAAGAATGTCTCTAGCTGCATGCCAAATAAATGTCATTTCTGCACAGTACAAGCCTAATGCAAACACCTTCTTTGATATCTTTGGCTTGCAGATACTTGATCAGCTCCAAAAGGTGTTGGGAATGCTTCAGTGTGACTATGGAAACTTTAGGTGGGAGGGGATTATCAGTGGGAGGAAAGAGGTTTTTCATTTATTTCCAGTGTAAAAGGAGGGCAGAAAGGATGCCCTGGAGAAATATAGTCTAAAACGGGTTATTCATTACCCCAGCTAACGTTTCTGAATCCTTGGCCTAGCTTCCAGCCTAACTCTGATGAAACCTTTCTCACTATCAGCAAGGACTTCTCTAACTAGCATAACACAAAAATCACTATATCCTTTTTTACTGAAAATGTAAAGGTGCTTTATTTCAAAAGTGAAATAAATCAAGATTGCAATAAACACAAGCAGGAAACATCCAGCAATGAGTTTGAAATTTTTTTTTTTCAGTACTTTTTTCAACCACTTTCACATTCATCTTAAAAATATGGAAACATAACTGCAAATCTTTACTTTCTCTTTGATGCATTTACATATAGGAACATCACTGTCTCAGAATAAAGATCCTGGGGGACTGCTACTACTGCGTGTCGGGGCTCCCAGAACCTCGCCAGGACCATGCACATTGCTGTGTTGAAATGGGGCTCAGCATGATCAAAACTATCAGGTAATGCTTTTTTTTTTCTCCTTCTTCTTCTTGTTTCATTGTTTCTGACAGTGTCCTGAACTTCTTATCTGAGAATGCTATTAGTAGACAAGTAATTCCTGTGGTGGTTCAGAGACCTCAGGATTATCACTGTGAAAAGGGCAGGACTTTTTCAATCCATGTAATGTGTGGGAACAGATACAAAATGCATTTTATTAACCTGTGCTCTTTCCGAGCACGTAACGTGATGGCTGTGCATGCGTTGCAAGTGATAGGTTTCACAGATCTTAACAGATTTCTCGGATCTTTCACTTTGTACTGTTGTCATTTTTAAGAGGTTCATGAGAAGGAGACTGAATTGCTTCCAATAATCCCCTTAATAAAATAAAACAACAAAATAAACACTAATAGACAGCTGTGGCAATACTTTAGCTTGGAAACCAGCTCATAGGCAAACTCATAAGCACTACGATTTGCCAGATGAGCAAATTTTACTTGTTATATTAGGTTGGTGCTTAAATCCACAAGGGCTGGAAGTGTTTTAATGAAAGGCTGTGTTCCCATCATGTAAATATAGTCACGTTGCTGGTAGATTATTGTATTTTGATGCAATCATGATTAAATGTTAATGACAATGTTTCAGCAGTACATGTATAGAGCATGCCCAAAGATTTACTGTGACAGTGGCCAACATCTAATGCTCCAAGTGAGGTTTTCTCCATCTTTTTTGTCCTCTATATCAATGTTGCTGATTTTCCCTTCTCTAAATCTTTCTTCTGCTGCTGTCTTCCTTAAAATAGTGTTGCCTACCCGAGCACTCTCCTCTTTCCATGGATGTTTTACTGTCCAATCTCTTTGCCTGCTTCTTTTCCAAACTCCTTTCCTTCTGTAATCAGTGTGTCTCATTATGAACATCAGACAGTTAATGTGTACTGCAGTTATGTTACTGAGATCTTAATAGAGAAAGAATTTGAAAAAAATTAAATAACGGAAAATGTAACTGCATAATGATTATGCAACAATGATCTCTAAGAAGATTGGGTTCAATTATCACAGACTAAATGTTGCACAAAGTAATCAATATTTTTCTTCTGGAATCCCCACAGTGAAAGTGAAGCACTAATTAGAGAACATACACAGATGAAAAAAGCTACCAGCATTTTTAAAAATTCTTGGAGACACACATCAAATCATTTGCATTTGCTTGGTAATACCATCTGCAGCAAACCCATTGAAAGTCATTTCTCTTCTAAGGTAGTAAATTTCTCTGGATCTCCTCACACATGTGGAAGCCTCTAACACCTTGGGGTCCTTTTATGAACCAGGTCTCAAAGGCAGTAAAGTAATCTAGTAGGAATGGTACTGTAGTTTTACTGTTTTAAAATGACAGTCCATTAGGATTTTGGTCATCCCAGGTTAATTCAGTTCAGATTGCCTCCAACTGATTTGATAATCTCAGTATCTGAATTTCTGGCCATTCAATAAGCATGATTTTTTTTCCCAGGCTTTTCTGTTCAGATTATAGGAGCCTTATGTTACTTATCTTAATGTGTGTACATGTAGTTCACAGGGAGGACCAATCCTTCCATGGGATATTACAAATACTTCGGTCCAAATTTCTGAGAGAATTTGGAGTTATCTACAATCTATTAATTATATCTTTAATTTTCAGATATCTCTCTCAGTTAAAATGAAAAAACACCCACAACCTTAGTTAGAAAACTGAGTTTCTACTTTATTGGTCACCGCAGAATTTGATCAGATCTAAAACCTGCTAGGAATGATTTTTTGATGATTATAAAAATGTTTATCTTCATCTGAAGATTTCACAAAATATTTATTTTGTATGCCCAAAATAACAGGGAGATGATCCAAGATATGAGAAACCATCATTCAGACTTCACAATCACATCGGAGTTAATAGATGAACTCAAAGCCTTCTTGCAAATCAGAGGATGTTTGCAGTAATTTTTTTTAAAAATCACTACTCATAAAGCCTATGTGAACAGTTGTTTGTTCTCCTTCTTGCAGAGCTACATCTTAGCTTATAAATCTTAGCTGTATTTCAGCTCAAGCACTTAGCCTAGCTTAAGAATTAGACATTAAAACAAAACCCAGTATTTGCAGTACAGCATCCCACCTGTGATTGGGATTTGGGCACCTAGATTGTGGACAGCAATCCAGGTACTTTAGAACTCCTGAATCTTGTACCAGTTTAAACTCTTTATGCAATTTATATTGAAGGAAGTGTTACATTAGAGAGAACAGATTTTCCCCTGTAGGTCCTCCAGGATTCCTGTACTCTCCATTGACAACAGGTAGTTGGTAACATTGCAAGGTTCAGTACCAACACTTCTGGTGAGGAAGTGCCCCAAAATGTACCATCTCAGGGTGCCATAATTTCAAATCTATTCACAACACAACATGTAAAATAAATCTACGTGGAGAGATTGACTGACAAGGGACTTCTGAGTGTTTTAATATAACTTGTATCCATACAGCTAAAGTGTTAAATTATTGTTAATTGAGACTCTACAATTTGATCTTAAGCTCATATAAGAAGGATCTAGACCTGAGTCTTGCTGCTCCACTTCTCTCTGTGGAGATGTAAGGAACTGTTTAGAACACAACATAACAATCCAAGATCATTACTTTCTCTGTAATGATTTTTTTTGTGTCACTATGTCTTGTTATAAATCTTACCAAAGTTATTATTGTTATTCCACACTTTACTCTTTCTTCCTGTACTTTGCTCCCTTAACCATTGAGTACAATTGAAATACAACTTTCAGCCATGAGAAGGTTCCATGAAATCTGATATTTACTCTAAAGAAAGGAAGCTTTGTCCCATCACATTTGTTCATGAGTAAAAATTCTAACTCTGGCTGTTTTGCAAAATCCAACCTCCTGTAAAGTCTCTTTAACTGCATTTTGAAATGCAAATTGAAATTAAAAAACCCAAGCTCTTCACAATGGTTCATTTATTTAGCTGGTCCACATACCTTTTCACATGCAGTATAACTCTTTCTGTATTTAATTTTATTGTATTAATGCCTGTCTGTACTGACAGCTGATAGAAATGAGGTACTAGTGGAATGTTTAGTCATCAGATGGTAATGTTTAATTTTAACAGTTATCACCCAAGCTAAATGGGTGTCAGAGATAACACTCAGAGAAACAATATCTTCAACTGGTCTTATCTACAAAGAACAGCCACCTTATCTTCATATCTGTGTGTGGAGGGAAATCTTTGTAAGAAGAAAGCATCCATCAGTGTTTTCATTGCATGTTAGTGAAATTCCACTGTTGGAGTGCCAGATGGATGGGATTATGGATGGGATATGCGATAAAATTCAAGATGGGGATATCTGTTTGCTTACAGTCAAACATGGAACATAAGCTTAAGATCTAACAATAAAATGAGGTTAGATTTGGTGAGACAATCACTTCCTCAAATATATTAAAATGGATGTAAAATAGATAAGAGAAAGAAACAGAACATAAAAGTAATTCTGAACTGAGATAATTTCTAAATATCACATCATGCTCCAGAAAGAGATTAATATGCTTGTTCATTGGAGTTTTCCATTCTTTGGGTTGGGCTGTGAGGAGAGGAATAAAAGTATAGTGAGGAAAGTCCAGAGCAAAAGTGAGGTAAAGGAAAAGGAGAGGAAGCTTAAAAGAAAGTGGAAGTAGTGGAAGGACTGTGAAGAGCGGGGAAGGAAATAATCATAAAAAAGAGAGAGTACTTCCAAAGTGGAAATTATAGAGCACAGTCTGTCAATGTCAAGACCGAGATGAGCATAATGAATCTGGTTGTGATGGCTGCATTTTAAAAAAGCTTGTTAAACATTTTTATAAGGGTGCAGGGAAAAGTCACAAAAATAATTTGTGAAGCAGAAGTGCCTTTAAAATAAGGGAATTGAGAAGCTTGATCTGTTTAGCTGAGCAAAAGAAAGGATTGAGAAGTTATTTGGTAGAAGTACATAAAAAATTTTATGGGCAGAAAAGACTAGATTTAAAAATGGGCCATGGGATTACTAAGAGAAGCGATGGCTTTTCTGTCCCTCAGTGTTTTCAAATCAAAACTGAATTTCTTCCTAGAGTAAATACTTCCATCAGGCACAAGTTACTGGAATACAAACAAGCACAAGTGGGTAAAATGTGCCAGCCCATGTGGCACAGGGTTTCAAGGTGGTCAATGTAGCTGTCCCTTCTGCTCTTCAGCTTGGGACACAGCGGCAGCATAAGTGACGGGAGCTGCCTCCAGGGGTTAAAAGCTGCTGCCTTCACCCCTACCTTCTCAAATGTCTTTTTCTTAAAATCCCTGTGACTGGCAAGAGAGGGGGGAGGGAGTTTGTGTGAGGTTCAGCACCTCAAGGACTCACTCACATGTGGGTTAATGATGGAAATCCAACAACAATCGACATAATGGTGGAAATTCAAACAAACATTTATGCTGGTGTATTTGTTTGGTAAGTCAAGGAGTCCTGAGTGATTTTGTCTCTTGGATTATTTCCCACTAAAATACCAGCTGAAAGTGTAATTATTATGACAGAAAAAATAGTTCCAGCATACAATGTAAGCTAACTCCAGAAATTAGATAACAGCTTGTCTTCATTAAAAGTCTGTAATTAACTACTAATATTAACATCAGTTCATGAGAGAGGAAAAAGAAAGAAAACCAAGCGAGAAAAAAGCCCCCACCAAACCAAACCCCCCAAAACCCTAAAACACTGCAACTACTGTAGATGATCTCAGTAACTGACTTGGCATGTTCCCTGCCTTTTGCAGGAAAAATGGCTTTTAACTTCAACTGGATCACATTGTCACCTCCCCATGTCCCTTTCAGCCACTGAGATTAATATGTTCATGTACCTCTGAGACCTCTCTTCTTTGAATGTGCCACCAAATACAAAGATATGTTGGCAAGATGGCATAGGAGTGTATATATTTATATAGCATTTTCAAACATAGTTTTCAAATGAAAAAGCAAAATTCTGATAATATTGTTTGTAGTC